CTTTTTTTTTTTTTTTTTTTAAGACAGGGTTTCTCTGTGGAGCCCTGGCTGTCCTGGAACTTAGTAGTCCAGGGTGGGCTCAAACTCAGAGATCAAACTGTCTTTACCTCCTAAGTGCTGGAATCTTAAAAGGGTTTTCTTATTGGTTTTGATCTGTCCTATTTCTTTTCCAATTTTTTCATAGGCTCCCATCTCATTCAGATACACAGTCAAGTATTGTAGGCATGCCTGTATGCTCACTATACTAGACATGTAAATGTTTATTCCAGTAAACACTGAATGCCTGCTATATGCCTAGATACCTGTTGTAGGGATTTCAGTCTTAAGATAACATTAAAAACGGTCTTTGCCCTCCTGGAATATATTCTAATTGGGAGAGAAAGACAGTAAACAATAAAGATAAGATGAATAGTGTATTAGAAGGTTAGGTGTCCTGTGAAGATTTCCATGTCCAGGTTTTTTATAGTGAAGTTACACTTTTAAAACTTTTTTTTAACTATTAAATGGTGCTGGAGAGATGGTTCAGTGGTTAGGAGCACTTGTTGCTTGTATAGAGGTCCTAAATTAGTTTCCTAGAAGTCATATGATAGCCAATTGCTGTGTAAGAGTAGACACCCTAGCTGGGTGGTGGTGGCACACGCCTTTAATCCCAGCACTAGGAGGCAGAGGCAGGCGGATCTCTGTAAGTTCAAGGCCAGTGTGGTCCTCAAAGAGAGTTCCAGGACAGTCTCCAAACCTACAGAGAAACCCTGTCTCAAAAAAAGAGTAGATACCCTAGTATAACTGGACAAGCTAAGAGCATTTGCTCCTCTCCCATAGGATTCTGGTTCAGTTTCCAGCATAGCATGGCAGCTTACAACTGTCCATAATTACAGTTCCAGGGGATCTGATGCCCTCTTCTAGACTGTCCCTAACCCCCCAAAGACAGGGTTTCTCTTTGTAGCCCTGGCTATCAAGAGATATGTCTGCCTCTGCCTCCTGAGTGCTGGGATTAAAAGTGTGTGCCGCCACTGCCTGGCCTCTTTGAGTACTAGACATTTATGTGATACATGCATATATGCATGCAGACAAAAGACACATAAAATAAAAATAAGTAAATCTTTTTTTTTTTCTTTTGAGACAAGGTTTCTCTGTGGCTTTGGAGGCAGACCTAGAACTAGCTAGCTCTTGTAGACCAGGCTGGTCTCGAACTCAGAGATCTGCCTGCCTCTGCCTCCCAAGTGCTGGGATTAAAGGGGTGTGCTACCACCACCTGGCTAAAATTAAGTAAATCTAAAAAAAAAAAAAAAAGAAAAAACAGCAGGAAGAATCATTTAGGCTACTATAATCGTCTGGGTGACCTCTGCTAGCTTTGCTCAATGTAGTAGCTGTAGAAGCTGTAAGTAGTAATTATATTTGCATGTATTTTTTAAATAGTCAACTGAAGTTATGGATAAAAGTTTGGGGGCTTGTTTGTGTGTTTGCTCTACTGGGAATCAAACCAAGGGCTTTATGCATTCTAGACAAGCACTCTACCAAGGGACCACAGCCACAGCTTCATAAGGATCAGTTTTCAGGCTTGGTAAAGTTAAGAGAGTACTTGCAAAACTGGGTGTGGTAGATCACACCTTTAATCCCAGCACTTGGAAGGCAGAAACAGCAAGTCCAGAACTACATAGAGACCCTGTCTCAAAACAAAACAAAACAAAACAAAACAGGAGAAATACATTTGCTTCTCTTCCAGAGGACCAGTTTGTTTCCCAGCACTCACATGGTAGCGCACAACTGGCTGTATCTCCTATTTCCAGGTGTTCCAAAGCTGCCATCTACCCCTCTCAGGCACTATACACATGTGGTGCTCTTAAATACATGCAAGGCAAAGCACTCATAACACATAAAATAAAAAATAAAACTTGAAACAAATACTTGTGGGTTACATTTTATTTGGAGTTCTAGCTTTGCAGAGGAAAGAATTTAGAATTAGCAATACTGGCCTTCACATTTCTAAGAGTGTTGAAATGTTTTCACAGGTGATGATGAGCAGTCTACACAGATGGCTGCAAGCTGGGAAGATGAGAAAGTGACAGAAGCTTCTTCAAACAATTTTGTGGCTATTAAAATTGATACCAAAAGGTATACTTATGCTTTAATGTTTCATTAGTTTGTAACCATGGTCTATTGTTATTTATGATGATGATACTATTAGACTATTAAGAATGTCAGTTTTGGGGCTGGAGAGATGGATCTGAGGTTAAGAGCACTGGCTGCTCTTCCAGAGGTCCTGAGTTCAATTACCAGCACCCACATGGCAGCTTATAACTGTCTGTAACTCCAGTTCTAGGGGATCTAACACCTTTATACCAATGCACATAAAATGAAGTTAAACAAACTTTTTTTAAAAAGTAAACAAACTTTATTATAAACAACTTGCAAATGAAAATATTTTCATGGGAGCTTAATTTCTGGTTGCCATTTTCAAATTCATTGTTACACCTTGTTAAAAAAAAAAATTCAAGTTTCTCTTGTCTACTACACATCCATGTATCAATGTAACAAAAACTATGAGCTATCAAAATGGATCAGCAGATAAAGGCACTTGTCATCGAGCCTGAAAACCTGAGTTCAGTCCCCATATCACACATGGTGGAAAGAGAAAACCAACTTCCACAAGTTGTCCTCTGACTTCCACTTGCATGCCATGGTATGCACATGTCTATGTAAACAAGCATACACACACACACACACACACACACACACACACACACACACACACACACACACACAACACCCTCTCTCTCTCTCTCTCTCTCTCTCTGCATAAGTAAATGAATGTAAAAAAATTGCTGTCCTAGGAAAGATTTGTAGTATCTAGGTTGGAAGAACTTAGAAATGACTATAAAGCTTATGTTGAATCTCTCTGCAACAAGTGATTTTTCCATATCTTCTGGAATCTCTTTTGGGAATGGAGCCATTTAATTTGAAAGGAATAAGGAGATAGCTCACTGAGTAAAGTCATTTGCACCAAGCCTGATGACCTGAGTTTGATCCCCAGAACCCACATACTGGAAGTAGAGAACTGACTCCTATGAAGTATCATCTGATCTCCACATATGCACCATGGAGTACATGCTCACATGAGTGTGTGCACAGACCCTTATAAAGAAATAAGTCCGCTGGGCGGTGGTGGCACATGCCTTTAATCCCAGCACTCTGAAGGCAGAGGCAGGCGGATCTCTATGAGTTCCAGGACAGCCTGGTCTACAGAGTGAGTTCCAGGACAGCCAGGGCTATACAGAGAAACCCTTCCTCAAAGGGAAAAAAAAAAAAAATTACCTGTAAGCTTATAAAACCTTCACTTATTATTTCATATTAACAAAAGTAGCATAAAGCAAATCTGTTTTATAGTTACTGAACTATATAGCTTATGTTTTACCTTGTTTATTTGTGTGTGTGCATGCCTGCTTGAGTCTGTGTATATTCCCCACATGCAGTCAGTGTCTGTGGAGGCCAGAAGGGGGTCTCAGGTCCTCTGAAAATGGAGTAGAAGTATTTGTCAGCTACTTGATGTGGGTGCTGGCATCTAACTGGAATCTTCTGGAAGAGCAGCAAGATCTTAATTGCTGAGCCATCTCTCCAGCCTGTTGTTTTTGGTTTTTAGCGTTACTTGGGAATTATGGGATTACTCCCTTTGTTCAGTATCTAGTTGATACTATTCTTAAAAAGTCTTATTCTTGACTCTGTGTGTGTGTTCGCGCACAAGCATTCGTGGTGTGTTTTGCTAGTGATTGAATATGTTTTCCAGTTTTAAATTTAATTATTATTAATTTTAATTATTATTACTGTAGGGGTAAGAGACACACATTTAGACAGTTTTTCTTGATGGATATTTAGGATGTTTTAATCCTTGTCATTCCAGAGTATTATGTTATGCCACTGTATCTTGTTACAGGTTAAGTTTTTTTTATGATTTATGTGTACTATCTTGAGTATTTGCACATATGTCTGTGTACCATGTGTATGCTGTACCCAAAGGAGCTAGAAAAGGGTGTTAGATCACCTAGACCTGGAGTTACAGATAGTGTGAGCCACCATGTGGATGCTAGAAGTCAAACCTGGTCCTCTGAAAGAGCAGCCCATGCTCTTAACCACTGAGTCATCTTTCTCTAGACCCCAAGATTTTTTTATTTAGGTATATTTGCTATTATGGAAGCAACATGAGATTTATTTTTTCCCTGAGATGGGTTATCACTTTGTAGTTTTGACTGTCCTGGAACTTACTATATAGACGAGACTGACCTTGAACTCATAAAAACTCATTAAAAATCCTACCTCTGCCTCCTTAGCACTGGGATTAAAGGCCACCACACCCATCAAGATAGACTTGTAAACCCAGCCACCACTTTGGGAGTTATAAGAAGGGATTGTTTGATCTGAAAATTATGAAACAATTAAAAAGAACAAAAATGTCTGTGAAATAAAATTCATATTTCTTTCCAGCTTATTCCTGTGACAACAATTTTAATTTTTAAAATATATGTATGATTGGACTGATAAATTTAATGAAATCAACACAGTATTTGGAAAGCAGTTGAATTAATGTTATGATTTTTCTCTTGTTTTTTTTTTTTTCTACAGTGAAGCCTGTCTGCAGTTTTCACAAATTTGTATCCTTCCATTGGAGAATTGGTTTCATGTATATTAAATTTACTTTTCTTTTTTTAAAAAATTTAAGAATTGTTTAATTTAGGAAAACTTAAGCCTTTTGGTAGAAGCAATGTTGCAGTCTTTTGAGGTAATACATTGTAGCTAATGGCAAAGTAGATGTTTTACTTTTTTTAATTTATTTTTATTTTATGTACATTGGTGTTTTGCCTGCATGTATGTATGGGTGAAGGTGTCAAGTCCCCTGGAAGTGGAGTTTGAGACAGCTGTGAACTATCATGTGGGAGCTGGGAATTGAACCCAGGTCTCTGGAGGAGCAGTCAGTGCTCTTAACTGCTGAGCTGTCTCTCTAGCCCCGATGTTTTTCTTTCTTAATGTGAATATTTGAAGAGTAGTATGGAGTAATTTGGTTGAAATGTTAAAAGTAGGTGGCAAAAAGCAAAATGGATATAATGATGTAGGAAAATGAAATGCATTTTTCACTCCAATATGCTGTATAAACCATTAATCATTTACATGTCACATGTACTAAAGACATGATCTGGTAATTGAGGTGAGAAACATGTTAGTAGTCACATTGTGAAACCGACTTAGATGATGTGTTTTCCTTTGTTATTGTGTTTTATAAAACTTCTTGTTTCAAGCATGAATTATTAGACTTAATTAACCTGTACAGATCCTGTAGTGTGTATTCCATCTAGTTTCTTTATAGGAGACAACGGAATCCCTTTGGAAGTCATAGCAGGGAGTGTTTCTGCAGATGAACTTGTTACAAGAATTCACAAAGTCCAACAAGTAAGAAGGAACCAGAACTTTTTTATGGGGTGGGAGGTTTCAAGACAGGGTTTTTTCCTCTGTATAGCCCTGGCTGTCCCGGAACTAGCTCTTTAGACCAGGTTGGCCTCAGGCTCAGATCCACCTGCCTCTGCCTCCTCAGTGCAGGGATCAAAGTTGTGTGCCACCATACCTGGTGATTTTCCAGTTTTAAAGAAAGTATATTTTATTTTGTTTGTGTGTATATATGACTGGTTGCATGTATGTGCACCACGTGCATTCTGGTGCTCGAGGTGGTCAGAGGGCATTGGATCCCTTGGAACTATGTTATAGGTGGGTGTGACCATCTGATGTGAGTGACCCAAATCCTCTACCAGAGCAGCAAGTGCTGTTAACCTATAAGCCATCTCTCCAGCCCCAGAGATTTTCCAGTTGTTTTGAAATAAATCTTTATTTTTCTGTATTTCATTGAGCTCTATAGTAACCGCCTCCCTTTCATTAAATATTACTAATTTGGGTCATCTTTCTCTTTCTGTTACATTAGTTGGCTAGGGTTTTGTCAATCTTTTGGTTTGGTTTGGTTTGGTTTGGTTTGGTTTGGTTTTCAAGACAGGGTTTCTCTGTGTGGCTGTCTTAACTTTGTAGATTAGGTTGGCATCAAACTCAGAGATCCTATTGCCTCTGCCTCCCGAGTACTGGAATCAAAGGCATGCACCACCATGCCCAGCCATTAATTTCATCCTTATTATTTCTTGCTATCTACTGTTTCAAGATGTGGATTGTCCGTATTTTTCCGGAACTTTGGAGTGCAAGGCTATTTTTTTAATTTACTTAGTTATTGAGTGTGGCAGGCAACCACAGCACTGAGATTGGTAAAGGTACAGACCTGCCTTTGTGTTTTCAAGGCTTTTGAGTATCAGTCACCCTTCTAAAGGGTTGCCTATGTGAGTATCAAGTACACTCCTAGAACCTCAATTCTCAGACTACAGCTTTGGAGAAGAGAAGAGTGACTCCAGAATTTGGTTCACTCACTGGTCTTAAGTTCAAAACTTTAACCTATGTGTTAATTCTCAGTTGATGAACTCTTTTTTGGTCACTGAGTGTTTGATGATATATCTTAACACATTTCCTAGCCCAAATCTACCACCTGCACTCTTCCCTCCTGCTCTTCACAGCAGTCTGTTTGGACTTTCTTTCACTCAGGGGCTGTGGCAGACCAAGTTGATACTTCCCAACCTGTGTATGTTTTCTCACCTCAAGCACCTGGGGTAGCTCGATTTTTAACAATAGATATTCTCTGAAGATAATACAGGAGGAGAATTGTGCTCTGACCAGCTTGTAATTGAATTCCATAGTGTGATTTGTTTTGTTTTGAAGAAAGGTCTATGTATAGCCTTGGTTGTTCTGGAACTTGTTATGTAGATCAGGCTGGCTTTGAACCTACAGTGATCCATTTGCCTCTCTGCCTGGAATTAAAGGCTGATAGGCTCCCATGTTCAATCCATAATAAATGTTTTTGGTTTTTTGTTTGTTTGTTTTTCTTTGTCTAGGACTCTGTACTTTCAATTTGTCTTACTGAGAGTTTAGTGTTTCTACTCTAGTGTGTGTGTGTGTGTGTGTGTGTGTTATTTCATCTACCATTAAATGGCTATTGAGTTACAATTTCTTTTCTCCTAAGATGCACTCATCAAAAGGTGAAACAGTGACAAATGACAACCAGTCAGAAAGTTCAGTATCTACTCCATCTGCCTCATTTGAACCTAATGACATATGTGAAAATACTGAGTCCAGGAATCCAGAGCTTTGTGAGACACCTGCTGCTGCTGACACAAAGTCGGATACTGCAACAGGTACAGGAAGAGTATTCCTTCACTTCACATTTAAGGATATGCATTAGTCTCACTGTAGCATCCCTGACAGATAATAAATATCAAGCCTTTCCATCGGGCACAATAGTGCATTTCTGTCATCCCAGTATTCAAGAGACAAAGTTAATAGATGATTTATACCTTTTTCCGTTGCATTACATACAGTTTTTGTCTTTGTATTTTTTAATAATTAAGGAGGAGAATGCTCAAGTCATGACAACCCCTCCCAGGAACCTCATGGATGTTCAAACCAGAGACCAGCAGAGGACCTCACTGTAAGAGTAGAAAGGTTTGTTTTTAATTTTGTAGATAGCATTTTGTTTAAAAAATTACAGTTTCCGGTTATTTTGTTAACGTGAATGAAACCCAAATACAAACTAGGGTACAGCTTTTCTGTATCTTTGAAGTTGTCAGTCAGCTATTGATCTGAGCATTTGGTTCTAAGAGTCCTTTTTGGTACATGCATGTGTGTCCATCTGTCGCTTTTGCTTTTATCTCTTTATGCCGGAAGAATAATAAGCTCCAGATGAACAAAAACTTAGCTCGGGCTGGAGAGATGGCTCAGAGGTTAAGAGCACTGACTGTTCTTCCAGAGGTCCTGAGTTCAATTCCCAGCAACCACATGATCACTCACAACCATCTGTATTGAGATCTGGTGCCCTCTTCTGGCATGCAAGCATATATGGATGCAGAATGTTGTATACATAATAAATAAATAAATCTTTAAAAAAAAAAAAAAACTTAGCTCATGTTATACATATGCACTAAGCTGGGGTTCTGTATAACTATTAAATATCATTTTTTATTGGTGGACCTAATACACATCTCTGGTTCATTGTAGTTTCTAGTTTAGGGTTTTTTATTTATTTGTTTTGGTTTTGGTTTTTCAAGAAGGGTTTCTCTGTGTAGCTTTGGAGCCTATCCTGGCACTCTCTCTGGAGACCAGGCTGGCCTCGAACTCACAGAGATCCACCTACCTCTGCCTCCTGAGTGCTGGATTAAAGGCGTGCACCCCTAATGCCGGCTGTCCATATATTTTGAAAAAAAATTTAAAAAAAAGAAGTGAGCTATGGGAATCAAACTTTGGTCCAATGCAAGAACAGTACGAACTTTTAACTGTTAAGCAGCTTTCCATCTCAAATTTATATTTTTAAGCACTATCAATCAGATAAATCATCAAAAAGTGAGAACTCTAATAGTAAATATAGGATAAAACAGGGTTGGAAAGGGGCTTCTGATAGACTCCTGTGAGTTCATGGATTTCTGTAGGGACAGGAGATGAGCAGGAGGTTATGTTTTAGTTTCTGTATTCCCCTTTGTTTTAGCTATTAAAACTTTTTTGAGACAGTCTGGTATGTAGCCCCTAGCTACCCTCTGTTTCCTAAATGCTGATGTTAAAGGTGTGCACCACCATGCCTGCTGCCCGCTCCAATGAAATTCTTAGTTGTGTTTTGAATGATAGAATCCATCTTGGTGTTTTTTGTTTTTTAAACAGATTAACAAAGAAACTTGAAGAAAGGAGAGAAGAGAAAAGGAAGGAAGAAGAACAGGTAGAACTCACTTTGTTGCTTGAGGGGATTTTTGATTTGTTGTCCAGTTTAGCAGACCTTGGGTGATACCCTTAGAGCTCAGTGTTGTATTGTGGTGAAGGAAAGTATCTGTTCTCTGCATTCAGTTATACTGTATACATTTTAGGGTATTGGTTATTGTTTGTCTGTTTGTCCTGATTGGTATGCAATCCATGCTGGCCCCAAAATCTTAGGGTTGCAATGACTTACCATGCTCACCTGTTTATTTTCTTTTTTATAAATTACCAGGCATAATTGAATAGTCTTTTTCATACTAAGTATCTAAAGGAAGCTGATATAAAATTGCTAGATTTGAGGAAAATCAAATTTGTAGGCATCCTCCTGAATTTTCTAATGTTGCATTCTAGATAGTCATCTTTCTCACAATAATTGTGCCCCATCTCTTTGAGGTCTCATTTAGATAATCCTTCTTTTCTTCTTTCTTTTTGATTATCATTTTTTTTCAGGCTATATAATTGCTTGCCATGTTGTCCTTGGAGGGTAACACATTTGCTGTGGAAACTAAAGACTTGTAATTCTGCTTGGATACAGATTACACTGAGGACACTGCTCTAACAGAGCCATTGAAAAAGTTTATAAGTTGATAGGCATTTGATCATTAATCATGCTGTCAATAAATTTTTTCTTAATATTTTATGTGTATCTAGTTTGCCTGCATGCATGTATATCTGTTACCACTTGCATGCCTGGTGCCTATGGAGGCCAGCAGGAGGACATCAGGTCCTCTGGAACTGAAGTTACAGACAGTTGTGAGCTGTCATGTGGATGCTGGAAATCATATCTTAAGTCCTCAGGAAGAACAGCCAGTGTGCTCAATAACTGAGTCATCTCTTCAGCTTCATTTTTATTTAATTTAATTTGCTTATTCATCTTTTGGTTTTTCAAGACAGCGTTTCTCTGTGTAGCCCTGCCTATCCTGGAATTCACTCTGTAGTCCAGGCTAGTCTAGAACTCAAAAAGATCCACCTGCCTCTGCCTCCAAGTGCTGGGATAAAAGGTGTGCACCACCATCAGTCTTCTTCATCTCCTTTGAAAAACATTACTTTTAATTTTGTGTGTATATGCAGCCCAGTGGACAACTTGCAACAGTCCATTTTCTCTTTCCATTATGTGAGTTCATAGTGTAAACTTTGGTCGAAGGCACTTTCATTTACTGAGCCATCTCTATCTTCTGTGCTTTTTATAATCAGCTTTCCTTACATCAAAATATTACCTGGGACAGACAATTGAATTATGGTTTTGGTTCATAAAACTTTTCTTTGATTCAGAGAGAGATTAAGAAGGAAATTGAAAGGAGAAAAACTGGAAAGGAAATGTTGGATTATAAAAGGAAACAAGAAGAGGAATTAACAAAAAGAATGTTAGAAGAAAGAAGCAGAGAAAAGGCAGAAGACAGAGCGGCTCGAGAGCGCATCAAGCAGCAGATAGCATTGGTGAGCTTTGTGGTGTTCTCCATTCATTCATGTTGAGACAGCTCTTTTCTGTGTAGCCAATAGATTCCCTGAACTTCTCTTAACTGAACCTGCTAAGTGCTGGGATTATAGAAGTGAGCCACTGGCTTCTAAATTTTTTTAAATGCTTGATTCTCTGACATTTGTGATATGGTTTCTTCGTGTGGGATGACTTTTCAGTCATTACCAAACAGTGCACACAATAGCACATTTTAGTAACTAAAAGAATATAAATCTGGGCTTCCTTTTTTAAAGGAATTATGTATTGAATTGAAATAGTTGAGAAAATATTAACAGATAATTATTTTAATTTTTAATATTCTTTCCCCCCACCTGGCTACTCCTCCAAAAAAAAAAAAAAAAATTTCTTTAAATTTTTTTTTTTTTTTGGTTTTTCGGACACGGGTTTTTCTTGGGCTTTGGGGGCTTGGCTCTGCCTCCGTAGTGCTGGGATTAAAGGTGTGCGCCACCACCACCCGGTTGTTTTGGCGGTTTTGTTGTTTGCTTGTTTTTGATGTGTTTTGTGTATTTAATTACATGTAGGTGTGTGTATCTGCATGTAGACATATGCAGGAGAGTGTAGGTATTCTCAGGAACCAGACATGTCAAATCCCCTGGAATTTGAGTTACATATGGTTGTGAGCGTCCTTTTATCGGTGTTAGGAGCTGAACTCAGGTTCTCTGGAAGAGCAGCAAGTGCTCTTAAGCACTGAGCTGTCTTTCTGGCTACCCAAAACCACTTTAAAGTTGTTTTCTCCATTTTACTTATTTTTTTAAGACAGTCTCACTGGAACATGATATGTATAGACCAGGCTTGGCCTCAGACTCATAGAGATCTGTGAAGTGCTGGGTTTTAAGGTATGTACCACTCCACCCCATCTGTTATTATGAATTTTCTAAGAAAGCACAGCTTTAAAAGATTGTCTAGCTGGGTGTGGTGATTCATGCCTTTAATCCTGACACTCAGTAGGCGTGTAGATGGAACTCTGTGAATTCAAGGCCAGCCTGGTCTACAAAGGGAGTCATGGGCTAGTCAGGACCAAACAGTGAAACCCTGTGTGAAGGAAAAAAAAATCCCAAGCAAACAAAGAATTTGTTACTTTATACAGGTCTTTATAAAAGCATTATCAGAGAGAGAGAGAGAGAGAGAGAGAGAGAATACGCTTCAAAGGATTTAGACACAGCCCAAAGTTTGGGATGGTTTTGCAGCAGTTGCTTTCTTTTTTCACTATTTATTTTATGTGTATGCATGTTTTGCATATGTGTATGCATGTTTTGCATATGTGTATGCATGTATACCACATACTTGCAGTGCTCACAGAGGCCAGAAGAGGGTGTTGGGTCCCCTGGGACTGGAGTTTCAGAGGTTTGTTAGCTTCCATGTGGATGCTGGGAACCTGTGTCCTGTGTGAGAACAGTCAGTGCACTGAACCACTGAGCCATAAAAAGCTATTGTATACATATATATGAATATTGTTTATTCATGTGGTCATTCAACAAACACTCGCTAAACATCAACTTTGTGCCAGACTTTTTTCCTGGCTATGGAGCCAGTTCACTCCCTCTCTCTCTCTCTCTCTCTCTCTCTCTCTCTCTCTCTCTTTTTGTAATAACAACTCAGATTCTTGACAGTTGCCTAAATGAAGAAATCAAACAAACAGAAAAACCTCAAATCTTAAATGTGTAAAGTCTGCATGTGAACTTATGGTAATTCATGTATTTGTGTTTATTCCTTGTGTTCAGAAATGTATAGGTTCTGAAAGAAGTAATGTGTCTAATGGTGTTTTACTTCAAAGGATCGTGCAGAGAGAGCTGCTCGTTTTGCAAAGACAAAGGAAGTAGAGGCCGCCAAAGCTGCTGCGTTGCTGGCCAGACAGGCAGAAGCAGAAGTCAGAAGGGAGTCTTCTGCTCGAGACAGAAGGTACTTCTTATTTTATGAAAGTCACCCTGAAATAGCCTGGCATCTGGGGCTGGTTAATGTTTATTTTATTTATTTATTTTTTATTATTTATGTATTTATTTTTATTTGGTTATTTGAGACAGGGTTTCTCTGTGTAGCTTTGGATCCTATCCTGGCACTCGCCCTGGAGACCAGGCTGGCCTGGAACTCACAGGGATCCACCTGCCTCTGCCTTGCAAGTGCTGGGATTAAAGGCATGCACCACCAACGCCCGGCATTTTTATTATTTATTTTGAACAGAATCTCCCTATATTGCCCTTGCTAACCTGAAACTCCTTATATAGGCCAGGCTGGCCTTACACTCACCTGTCTCCTCTTCCAACTAATGGGTTTAAAGGCACCAAGCTGAGCCACCAAGCCCAGCTCCTTTTTATGTGTTTTTTGATATTGGAACAATTGCTAGCTTTCATAATCAAATAGTATGACTGGGTGCACGACTTTAATCACAGCACTTGGAAGGCAAAGGCAGGCTGATCTCTTTGAATTTGAAGCTAGTCTGGTCTACATAGTGAGTCCCAGGCCTGCCAGGGCTAAGATCCTGTCTCACAATACAGAAATGGCTCATCACTTGAGTGCTCACTGTGTGATCTTGAGGACTAGATTTTAGATCCCAGGACCCATGTAACAAGCCCAGAGTCCGCCAACGGAGCAGCCAGGATGGCTACCCTTGCTGACTTACAGGCTAGCTGAGACAATATAGGCCCCAAGTTCGTTCAAAGGAATAGGTGGAGAGTAACAGACATCCCATGCCTTCTTCTGGCCTCTGCCAAGGTACATGAACATACATGCTTGCATATACTCTCCATAGACACATACAAATTAAGTCCATCCCTCTTTGTTTTGTTTTGTTTTCTAATCTAAAAAGGAACTTCCATGGACCCCAGAAAGATGCTGTTGGTTGGTTGCCTTGAAGCTACAGATAAGTCAGCTCACAACCATGGCAGCTGGGACCAAACTCAGGTCCTCTGCAAGAGCAATGAGTTCTCTCAACTCCTAAGCCATCTTCCATTCCTGACTTTTACAAAATTTTTAATTCTGAAATTTATAAAGAATTAGAGAAAATACTTCAAAGTGTATAGTTAATAAGGAATTTATACCTGAGCTATAAAAATCATTTGTATAACTCAACAATGAAAAGATAACTCCTATATGGGGGAAGGATTGGGAAAGCAAGCTGTTAGGCATATGCCTATAATTCTTAACCCTTGGGAATCTCAATCAAGAACACAGCAAGTTTGAGGGCTGCTTTGGTTATAAATGAAGTTCCAAACCAACCTAAGCTACACAGCAAAACTGTCTTAAAAAAAAAAAAAAAGATTACATTTCATACCCCCTAGGATAACTCAGTTGTAATAGACAGTAACAGTTTGGCATGATTGCACATGCCTTTAATACTATCATTCTGAAACAGAGGTAGACTGATCTCTGAATTCAAGGCCAGAACAGCAAGTGCTAGGCAGGGTCTACACAGTGAGACTGTCTCAATAAAATACATTAACAACAGTAACAAGTGTTGCTAAGGAGGTAGAGAATTTGGAGCCCCTCTGCATTATCAGTGGGTTATAAAATGGTGTAGCCATTTTAGAAAAACATTTGGCAATTCCTCAGAATATTAAACATGGAGTCACCAGGTGACCGAGTACTCACTCTTAGTCATATATCCAAGAGGATTGTCTTGGTTAGGGTTACAATTACTGTGATGAAAGACCATGACCAAAGCAACTTGGGGAGTTAAAGGGTTTATTCAGCTTACACTTCTATGTCACAATTCATCATCACAGGAAGTCACCAGGACAGGAATTCAAATAGGGCAGGAACTTGGAGGCAAGAGCTGATACAGAAGGCATGGATGGGTGCTACTTATTGACTTGCTCCCTATGGCTTGCTCAGCCAGCTTTCTTACAGAATCCAGGGCCACCTGCATGCAGATGGCATTCCCTACAATGGACTGGGTCCTTCCACATTAGTCACTAATTAAGAAAATGCCTTACAGATGGATCTTATGGGAACACTTCCTCAATTGAGGCTCCCTTCTCTTTGATGACTTTAGCTGGTATCAAGCTGACATAAATCCTGCCAATACAAGGATTGAAAATATGTCCACATGGGTGCTGGAGAGATGGCTCAGCATTTAAGAGCACTGACTGTTCTTCCAAAGGTACCTGGTTCAATTCCCAGCACCCACATGGCAGCTCACAACTGTCTGTAACTCTAAGATCTGACACCCTCACACAGACATACATACAGACAAAATAGCAATGCAAATAAAAGAAAAAAAAAGAAAAAGAAGATATGTCCACACAAAAACCTGTATATAAATACTCATGGCATTGAAGAAAGCCAAAGTGTGATCATAAATTACATCAGTTTAAGAGGAGATTCAGCAATAAAAGAATAGTGAACTGATCGAACATTGGATGAATTTTGAAAACATAATGGTGTATGAAAGATCCCATATAATATGGTTCTTTTAGATGAAAGGTTCCAACTAGGCAAATCAGTTAATGGTTGCTAGGTCCTGGGAGAGGAATGGGAGTGATTACTAATAGGCTCAGGGTTATTTTGGGACGTGATAATGAAATATCCTACTGTTAGTGTGATAACTATATGGCTGTGTTTATTGTTTTTGTTTTTGTTTTTTGTTTTGTTTTTTTTTTTTTTTGTTGTTGTTGTTTTTAAAAATAGGGGCTGGAGAGACCTCAGCAGTTAAGAGCACTGGCTGCTCTTCTAGAGGTCCTGAGTTCAATTCCCAGCAACCACATCTGTAATGAGATCTGGTGCCCTCTTCTGGTCTGCAGGCATACATGCAGATGGAATACTGTATACTTAACAAATAAGTAAATCTTTAAAAGAGAATTTTTAACATTTATTTTGGGCTTGGGATGGGGTTGTATATGTACCATGTTGTCCATGTGAATGTAAAACAAGAGCTTTCAGGAATTAGTTCTCACCTCTTCCACAGAGGTAGGCTCTTAGAGTTGAACTTAAGTCATCTCACCAGGCCCTTGTTTTGTTTTTGAGACCAGACTTCACTGGGTATGTAGCCCAGGCTTGCCTGTAACTTGGGATCCTCCTGTTTTAGCCTCTTGGGTGATAGGATTACAGGTTGACAGGCTTGCATGGCAAGTACTTTACCTGCTGAGCCATCTTGCCTGCCTGAAAATGTACATTCTGTTTTCAGCTGAATTTAAAAAAAAAAAGAAAAAAGAAAAAAAGAAAGAAAAAAAGGAAAGGAAGAAAGAACAAACTATTTATGGGGGTGGGAGCAGCATGCTGTGGCACATGCGTGGAGGTCATGACACGGTGAAGTCAGTTCTCTCCTTCCACCATGAAGATCAAAGTCATATCATCAAGCTCACCAGCCCTTTGGTGGTTAATAACACTGTTGGAGAATCTGTAGGTGAAGATGCTGACTGCAGCCTGACTTGTTTCTTTTTTCATAGCACCGTTGCAAGAATTCAGTTCCGGCTGCCTGATGGCTCTTCCTTTACAAATCAGTTTCCTTCCGATGCTCTGTTAGAAGAAGCAAGGCAGTTTGCTGCACAGGTGAGTTCATAAAGACATGTGTGGGTATTAAAATCTTTCAGGAGACGCTTCAAAGCAGAACTTGAATGACAGGAAGTAGCCTGAGATAGAGGGGGTTCTGACTTGTATTATACATGATGACAGTACACAGTTGGCTCAGAAAGTTCTATTAGCATGCTTGATTAACAAGAGGCATGAAAAGCTAGTGGCCTCTTAGACATCTGATCTGAGGAGTTATCTGTCCTGGAAAGGAAGTGGTTTCTCTTTATTTTCTGATGCTTGATTAGACCTTAGCCATTTTTCTGTTTCCAATACAAAAGATTAGTGTGGGAATACTCAAAATCTAAGTGGCATATGAAATTTGATAACATAGGAAGTAAGATAGGGTAATGTCCAGTACTTGTTATTCTTTTAGTCCTGACTCATTGAATTCTGGTTAAATCAATCTTTAGGATCTAAACTCTTTGTACATACCAGTATTTTTCTCATAACTTCAAGGTTAAAATTAGAAAGTTGGCTACATTTTCATGGGAGCAGCTAACTTCCTTTGTTTGGAGTTTTCCTTCTAATACCTTCTCTAGGGCTGGCTTTGTATATAGGTATTGTTTAAATTTATTTTTTTCATGGAATATCTTGGTGATAGGCCATGCTTTGTTGTCACCCATGGGAGGCCTGCCCCTTCCTGAACAGAGGTGGAAGAGGGCTGGATTAGGGGTGAGGGTCAAAGGGGAAGAGGGAGGGAAGCTGTGGTCAGGATGTAAAATAAATGAAAAAATTTAACATGAGCCCAATGGATGGATATTTTACAATATATTCTTATATTCATAAGGACAATGTAGCCCTATTACTAAAATGAAAAAAGAAAAAGGTTGGAATATTGGATTCAAATCTTTTCACCAAACTACTCAAAATAGTCTCTCCACCATGTTGAGTCACAAGAGAAGATGCCTCAGTGCTGCAGAACCCTACTGAGGTAGTTGTTCATTGCTCTGCTGTCTTGAGGACCCGAACAAGGCATCCCTGCCTTGTCTTATTATCCAAATGGGTTTTTTAACACCTAAAATATGACCACTGTCTTACTTTATTCCAACTGCTACAGGTAAATGGAGGCTGTGTGGGAACAACAGTTCTCTTCTGTGGACCAGCTGGAGGGTTTGTTGGTTGAAAGTGCTTGCTGCCATGCTTGACAACCTGAGTTAGGTGTCCAGGGAGAGAACTGACTTTTCAAGTGGTCCTCTGACCCCCACACATGTGCTGTGGTGCACACATGTCTCCCCCCCACTTCCCACACAAAATAAATGCTTTAAAGTCTTTAAAAGGCATCTGTGTGTGTTGGTGAGTCATTAACCTAAGTTTTCCAAATGCTAGTGAAGACCCCAGCTGCTGCTAGCTTGGTGAAGACACAGCTGCCACTTTGTTGCTTGTTTTGCAGTACTGTGTGGGAGGTGAGGGAAACATGTGTGCACCATAGCACATGGGGGTGTGGGGGTCCTAGGACCACTTGAAAAGTAAGTTCTGCAAGCACTTTCAGCCAGGGAGCCCTCCAGCTGGTCCACAAAAGAGAACTGGTGTTCCCACACAGTCTCCATTTACCTGTAGCAGTTGGAATAAAGTAAGACTGGTCATATTTTAGGTATCAAAAGCCTTGTTAAACCATTTGGACTTGGTATGTCTCAACTACTTTTTAAAACATGTTTTTTGCTAAGTGATTTTTAAATTTATGTCTAATTGAACTTTGTAAATTAAGGCAACTTTACCAATCATTTCAGAATCTAAAATGATGCATATTGTTGGTACCTTATTTTTTAAAGTCACCTTTTATAAGGTTTAAAATTTACTTCTCTGTTCCAGACTGTTGGCAACACCTATGGTAATTTTTCACTAGCAACCATGTTTCCCAGGAGGGAGTTCACCAGAGAAGACTATAAGAGGAAGCTACTGGATCTAGAGCTCGCCCCCAGTGCCTCCGTGGTGCTTCTGCCAGTATGCTCACAGTTCTGGGTTCTTCTCTTTGGGTTTTCTGTCTGTTCTATTCTTGGTCATTAGACTTGGCAGAAAAGGAAAAAAAGGCTGTGGGTAATTAAAATACAGAGTAGCCAAAATTAGATCAATTTATAGTACATTTATTCTGTGTTTTATAAATTTGCAGGCTAATGTTTTGTAAGACTTTGATTTTCAACTGTTTGTTATGTAAAAAAAAATAACAGAAGAAAACACTGATTTTTCTCTGTGAACTCTTAGCCTATCATTCTACTGTCTACCACACTAAAAATATATGTATAACATAAAAATAACATTTAATTCTTCAAGTATAGCTTACTTTTTTTTTTTTTTTTTTTTTTTTTTTTTAGAACGGG